CACAAAAGGGTGCTTTTTCTTTTCAGCTGTTCGAATAATACTACCACACATATAGCCATGTGTACAGACTTGCACATTTTTGACGCACATGCACAAATTTTGACCATCACTGTTGGTTTTTTGTGGAAGGCTAGTAATATTGCTTTCACATACATGTTCCACCATTTAAGACCATGGTGGTAGTTGAAAGTGGTACCACATCCTTCGCTGGGTCTGCGTACTTGTTCCCTCTAATCTGACGAACATGTAATGCCGTTGGGCAGTCATAGTAATTTTATAGTTGTGCTACTGTTATAGTTCACAGCTCAAATTAACTGTGAAGGGAATAGTATGGATGTTAAATAATTGTCTTGAAATTTGTGTAGGAGAAGGAAAATGTTGCATGGACTGCCACTGAGTTAAATGATGAAGTATATAAGCCGGTAAGTTATTTGGAAGTTTGAGAAATGTTGAATGATGTAGTTAGTTTTATTATTTGTTCAGACTGTGGTGCTCGTGGATCAGATGTGGTCAGATGATGAAGAAGTTACAGCAGTGGGACCTGGTGAAAATGTGAAGATCAAGTTAAAAGGAATTGAAGAAGATGATGTTTCACCAGGGTTTGTGCTTTGCGATAATACTAATCCTATTAAGACTGGCCGAGTATTTGATGCTCAGGTAAGGGAAATTATGGAGAAAATTGTACGAGGCGCGTCCACAAAGTAAGTTTCGGACAGCGAGTCTCCTGCAGGAGTTCAGCTGGGAGGTGTTTGATCATTCACCCTACAGCCCGGACCTCGCTCCCAGTCATTTCCATCTTTTCCTACACCTCAAGAAATTCCTGTCCGGTCAGCGTCAGCGTTTTGAGAATGACAGAGAGGCGGAGATGGTTGTCACACAGTGGTTCCAATCCCAGGCGGCAGACTTCTACGACACAGGTATTCAAAAGTTGGTCCCACGGTATGACAAATGTCTCAATTCCGGTGGCGAATATGTTGAAAAATAGCTGGACACTTGCTGTATCTGTTGCAATAAATATTTCCATGAAATTGTGTTTTGTTTCTATAAACGGCCCCAGGGAAACTTACTTTGTGGACGAGCCTCTTACTTACAAAAGGGATTTTTTATATCTATATTTATTATCAGATATGTCTCAGGTATGTTGATTCCTTCCCTCTGATACATTCCGTGTGATAACACACACATCAAAGCATCCTTTTCTGCTGGCTTCATATTAAAGTCAATTACTGTTATTTTTCAATGTGATTTTTAAGTATATTGAAAAATTTAACAAAGATTGAAGGGATGTTTGATGTCAAATTAAAATCTTGCAGTGTCAACAATGGATATTGAGTGTTGAAACTTTTAAAACAGTAATACAGAGTTGTCTAAGGAGATAGTTATGTACATAAATATGCCATATTCAGTGAAGTAAATTTGATTTCTTTGGAAGAGAAGCATGAATTTGAGCCATATTCAGTGAAGTAAATTTGATTTTTTTGGAAGAGAAACATGAATTTGCCACATTGTACCAAACATGATGGTATTCCTAGCCACTTTGCCATATTACATATTACCTAATTCAGTGCCAAAAGATTTAACTTTAGCTTAGTGCTGTGTTGTTTGAACATCTTTAATTTTAGTTATTCTTACTGCCTTTGTTTGTTTTATCAGGTTGTGATTTTAGAGCATAAAAGTATAATCTGTGCCGGTTATTCAGCTGTGATGCATATCCATTGTGCAGCTGAGGAAGTCACAGTCAAAGTGAGTGTGTACTTTTTCTTATATACTCTGCACATCATATCTTTGTTTACATTTTAATTCTGTTGTACCTAAGTTTGGAATTGAATGTTAAATAAGTCAGTACAGTTTCCTTCTATATTGCCCACCTGTAATCCTTTATTGCCTGCTATCGTCAAAATTTGCCATTCAAAAAGAATTATACATGAAAGTGAAAACCCAATAAATGATTAAAGAGACAGGATTGCATATTAAACCTTTTGTGTTTGATTAGAATAACACAGCATGTTCGTTAAATAAATGCAGTAATTATTCTTGTATTATTCTAAAGTTTTGAATGAAGTTATGTCATTAAACTTACGCATTCTTTAGGCATTTTTCTTCATCAGTCATTTAAAAGGCGTGCAACATTGTTGACTTGGGAATACATTTCAAGAAATGCAGACACAATGTCAGCCAGGTCTGGTGCAGAAATTAAAATTGGCCCAGTATGTGTGTGAATGAGGTTATCAGATGTTAAAGGGAATCCAAGGTTCATGCCAAACATCATATTCAGAAAGTACAAAAAATTGGCTGCCACAGTCTGTGTGGCCAATCTGATACTAGCCTAGACTTGATATTTCTCCTCATTAATATGGAAGCTGGCAAGTTTAATTTAGCATTTCTTCAGCTAAGTGGTTCTAACTTGAAGGATGATACATGTTTAAATTTAACTAAGAATGTACTTGTGGTGATGGATGTTTCAGGCCTTAATCTGTCTGGTAGATAAGAAGACTGGTGACAAGTCGAAGACACGGCCCCGTTTTGTGAAGCAAGACCAAGTAGCTATCATGAGGGTAGAATGTGCAGGCGTAATCTGTATGGAACAATTTAAACTATTTCCACAGATGGGAAGATTTACGCTTAGAGATGAAGGTGATGATTATTGCACTTTGAGAGGAGTGCTTTTAGTTTAATGCATTTTGTAAGTTTTGGCCTGTCGATCTCAGATTTGATTGAGGGTCACTTTGGCTATGACCATATGTCCAAAACTGGATGTTTTATTTAGAAACATTGTATTCATGTAGTTCATAGATTTTGTTTTGTGACTTTTTAAAAACAATTGGGTGACATGTGCTAAACCGTATTGCCATGTCCATATCTACCAGCAGGAGAAGTAAGCAAGAACTATAAATTAATAGTTTTACAGTATAGTGATTCATTTCTGTGTATAATATTCTCTACTACAGATTTCAGGTACTTTAAATTTATCATATATAACCTCAAGCTTGTACACTCCCTCAGTGTGTTGTCAAGATGTTTCATATACTTATCTAAATAAGTATTTTATGTGCCAAGCTTCAGTGGTGTGTCGGTATTATTGACTACAGAAAATTAAGAAGTACAAAGGTGATTTGAAGTTCATCCCCAGTTTCTTGAAAATCCCATTTTTTTGTTCAGAAGTTATTATAATAAAACAGACACATGGACATGATCATCTTTCCTTATAGAATAAGGTCTGCAGAAAATCTGTTTCTAACTCCGGAAAGGAATTGCTGACTTGCTGTGGGTTATGCTATTTATGTTTGTGTTGTATTATTTTGTTCTGTCTGATAGTTATTTATTTTCTTTCAGGTAAAACAATCGCTATAGGTAAGGTGTTGAAGGTTATCGAGTAAATTGTATTGCTTTCAATTGGCCAATAAATTAAACTGAGAGAGAAGAAAATTTTCCATCGGAACCTACTGTAAGTGGCAAAGCATCTGGACAAGAATGGTATAGAATGAACAGTGCCCAGTCATACCATCTGTGTATTGCTTGATTATCTTGATTGATTGATTGAAGAACGTTTCAGGTGCTTTCCATTAGTAGCTGGAGGTGCATCTGAGAAGATAAGAGGGGCGCATAAGTGTGTATGTCTGTATGTAACAGGATAATTGTGTGAGAAAGTGCAAAATTGTGATGGTTTAGAAAGAATTATGCCAGGGCTAACCTTCCTCTGAAAGGATTTCTTAGCTGAAAGCTGTGTCACCTGAACTTTTACAAAATAACTTACCTTCTTGCGTATACAGTTGCAATTATCAGCCAATACTAATGTAGTTTATTGAGTAAAATCTTGTTTGGTCATTGATATGAATGTATTAACAAAATATTGTCTCAGGTGCATAGTATTGGTTTGTTACCAGTTGCAGTTGTAGGCATGAGTGATGAGTCAGAGCTTCTGGCAGTGCTGACAACCCCATAATGATCTGTTGCTTCTCATGAAGGAAGAGAAATGGTAATGGTCAGTGAAATTAACCCTGAAGGCAGTGACAGCAATTCTAGCACACTTGCCCTCCAGCTAAAATTATATTACATTTCTTTCGTTGCAATTTTTAATCGCTTTTCATGACACCGTTGACTCTTATACGTTGATACACTTCAGAAAGCAAACTGTGGGAAAATATTGTTAATTGAAAAGTATGTGAGTCTCAGATTGCATATATTATCAGGTAACTTTTATGATGTAAATTCTGGAGGTAAAATGTTTTATTGAGAGAGCCTTTGCCAAAGGAGGTGAAATGTAAAATTTGTATGCACCTTTGGATTGGTTGCTTTGCTGCAAATTGAAATGGTTGTCCTTTTGCCCCCCACCCTCCCTCTTTGTGATGTAATTGACCGCTTTCAGTGTACTAATGCACACGTTACGAGATGTTGGCAGAGATGTGCCTCAAGAAAGAGAGTTCTCTTTTTTTTATGAAAATATGCTGGTAATGTCTATACTACTGGGATATTGTTGTTTATAAATATGTTAATTTTAAAGGTTAGGGGATAATTTTATATAAGCAAAGACATACCAATGTTTTCAGTTGACATAAATAACTGTTATGAATTTACATTCATACTTGTAAACTTGAGAAAGAGTCAGACATAATAATGTGTTGTTTTGAAATACAGTTTATTGAGTTTAGAACTGAATCTAGAATCATATTTTGATTGGTAAATGATATTATTTTGAAAACTGCCAGTGGTCAGGAAGTTTGTCCATTGTCCACGAGATGCTGGTACATGGTTTCTCTTTGCCTTTTTATAAGCTGCTTCAGGAGATGCCCATGTGTGGTGTTTTCTTGATTACAAGTGATTTTCACATTACAATAAAGGAAGATAAATGAATCTATTCATGTAATGCATCTACCTTCCCAACCCTGAAATTGCCTTCTAGTCATCGTCCCTATTCCTTCAAGATTTTCATATGAACCGAAAGTTACAGATGTTTGTGTTAATGCTGGGAATTTTGTTTGTTTTTTATTTGTTTTTGTTTTTGAAAGTGAGTTTGGAGAAATAACTCATTATAATCTTTTATCTGAGGGTCGGAGGTAAAGGCACATGACATGAATGATGGTGGATGAAAAACTGTTCAGAATATTTTAATAAAGTTTAAATGTTTCAAAATGTGGCAGTTACGAGAAAAGGACTTGGTGATTTTGCACGTGGTTTTATCATTTCTGAAAAGGCTTCCGTATTTCAGTAGTGTGGAATAACCCACTGATCCACTGAAATTGAATATCCTTCCTGAAATAGTCATTAGTTTGCTGGGTAGATGGTGACAATGATGTTCATGCTGGCCAACATATAGAATTTACTTTCTGCATTGTAGAGAAGGTTATCGATTTTCACTTTTTGTATTATTGAATCTTAAATGGCAATGTAAATCTTATTGGAAACTGGTGTACAGGGAATGGAAGTGATTAAAATATAAATATTTCCGTGACTCTTAACCACAAAAAGTAATGTAATTCTAATGACATTAATTAAATACGAGGGAATTCAATATTAACTTTCTAGTCAATTGTGGTCAACATTGCCTGACAGATTTATGCTATGCGCATGCGCATAAGGAAGACCATGTTGAATTGAGTGTATATTACGGTTGGGGTACGTGGAAGGTAATAGTATTTAGAGGTTGTTGAAATTTGAGACAATGACTGCCCACGATCAAATTAGGGCAATGTTGGATCAATTGATGGGAACAGGACGAAATGGTGAGAATTATGTGGTACTTTTATATGTTTAAGTTAAGGGTTGGGTTCATTTTCTGATGGACGCTGAAATTGTTGGGAGACAATCAACAAAATGGCGATAACTACTGACGTAGTGCGTTGAATGTAACTTACCCGATTTAGAATACTTTCAGTATAGTCTAGTGAGTTTTATGATATCATAGTATTTATAATTGGTACATTGCCGTAATAACTGACATTAGTTTTGAGTGTATTTTCTAAATTCTATAATTTTGACTGCTTATCGTATAGTCTACTTTCAAAGCTGTAAAATTTAATGTTTAAAATTGTTTTTTTTTAATGTTAATAGTTAGTAAGATGTATGTTGTTTAGGTTTGCGTGCTAAACTTTAAAGCATTTAAGACGATTGTGTATGAGTCACCAAAGTTACATATGTATTGGGAATGGTGTATAATTAAGACCTAAAGACACTCCTGGTTTTATTCTAGGGGGGCTTCCGGGCTTTAGACAAGTATTGAGAGTTAAAGCCAGCTGAGAGCAGATCACGTGTGTATTAATCTGTGATATTTTCCTACTTTTCCAACTGTATTTTGGATGGTAGTAAATTGCTGTTTACTTTGAAGATTAATATTGTAATTAAATAGAATTGATATTTAATGAAAGTAACAAAGTAGCAGGATATTTATAAGAAATGATCAGCACATTTCTGCAAGACTTCGGTTTAGATTTTGTTTAATATTGAATTTATAGTTTTCATTGAACTAAAGTAAAAATATACTGTTGTCTCAATACAGTGGAACATTGTACGTCTTTCCCATGTGTTTGTAGGTGAGAACAACCGTTTCCAGGTTAAGTTCTCCGACCCTAAAGTGTGCAAGAGTTTTCTGCTCAGTTGCTGCCCACATGAAATACTTTCTTCAACAGTAAGTATTTCACATGGTAGCATTCATTTGCATTAAATGAGAGGGCTAATCAAATACTTGTGATAACAGTTATGTCACAATGGTCATCTGCCTATCAGGGATAAAAGGTAAAACATGATTCTTCCCAACACATCTCAGGTCTGGTTCACAACCTGATCATGATTTTTGTGTAATTACTGTAGCTGTGGTTTTTGATCAGAGTTTGTAATTGAATGTCTGTATAGTCATCTAAATTGAGCTAGATGGACCAATGTGACTACTTTAATTAATCCAGTTGTTGTTTCTAGATTGTAAGACTTCCAATATGCCTTGAATTTGTTTTAAGATCATGACATTTGAATAGATGGTATAATTTTATCTTGATTACAATGGTAGTGTTTAAAATTGCTATGTTGCTTATCTCTCTGATTTTTATATTTGCTGAGCTGAACAGGAAATTTTAAAGCCTCAAAATACTATTGATGATCTGTATTAAATTACTTTTGATAGTTTGGAGGTTTTGTTTAAATGTTGTTTTACTTTGATTTGGTATGCTGTAATTGAAATGTTTGATATCTTTTAGATATTAACTGATTTTAAACTTGTTATTCACCAGCAGTATTGATGTGGCTTGTATTGGTTGTCATTATTTGAGAAGTGCATAAATATTGAGAAAAACTTGGTAATTGAAATCCAGGTGTATTGCAGCCTAATGAGTTAAGCTTTGAAAATTCTGATTTTTTTTATTGTGAACTGTCCGGTTTCATTCAGCTAATTATTGTCTGATATATGCTCAGTAGACAGAATTACTGAGTGCATTCATTCTATTATTTTTGGCATTTGTTTTTTCTTCAAGTTGTATGATAGATTTGTGTGTTACTTTTAGACATTTGATATTTCAAAACCAAACATGTCATATGAAAGACATTAATGCAAGAAATTGTAGTTCTTTCCAGAATTTGGCATCATAAAGTGAGGAAATAAGAGTGAGTTTGAGTTTGAGGGTTAGAGTTTCTGTAAGTACATCCATTGTAATAATTGGTTGAATATACTCTAGGTTCATCGAGAAGGTACGGTATATTTTGTAAAGCATTGTTGCCAGTGTACTAAATACTTCAGTGTTGGTAAGTAGGTGTAACATTTGTAAGGTGACAAAATCAGATGATGTATCTTTTGTAGAGGGGGCTGTAAATGTCTTTTGCATGTAGGGTTGTCCTTGTCAAGAAGAGTTGGCACATAAACAACCATATTGGCAGCATCACATTTCTGTGTGCTTATCATCATATATGGCTTGTTTTCTGTCTACAAAATGAATGCTTTATCTATAGAGAGACACTTCACAATATCTTCAACCTG